GTGCGCTTCGTAACGGCAGTCCCCACTGCAATATATGTACATACATATGTACACAGAAATTCACATACAAATCACCTCTGCGGACTACTTCTTTGGTGGCGCTTATGCTGGGATTACAGCAGCACCAGAAATCCTCACTCCCACAAACGCAATGAAAATCAGAGTAATTAATTCAAATGAAACCCTTTTTAGTCTTTCGATCAGAATTAGCTGATGGATTCAAATATGTATATTAAATAGTTTGTGTGGTTTCGCTTATTTTAGTAAGTGTTTCTCTAATTCGTTTCGCTATACCCAATCCCATAATTCTGTTCAGCGAATGTCTTATTTAATCATTTTGCGTTTTTGCGTGCCTCTCACTCGAGCTTTACATCTCATTAATTTGCAAAATTTGCTTTAATCTCCCTACATTTCCATTTCATTGAGGTCTTAACCACTAACGTGCCCCCCTCTGTTCTCAAACGCAGCCGCAAAACGCATTACAATTTTATTTTTATTCAATTTTTGCGCAACGACATCAAAAGGCGAAACGGCAAACAGAAAACAGAAAACAGCAGCAACGAGTGCAGAACAGAACTCGACTTGACTCGACTCGACTGCGTGTAATACAATTTTCACCTTCCTTTCCCGCAAACCTCCTCCCGATTTACCCACCGCCGCGCGACAGCGCCAGACCACCAAATGCCTTTTTGAAGAAAAATTATATTTTTACATAATTTAACAAGCCCGACGAAGAGTGGGAGCTCTCGTCAATGAGTCAGTCAGTCAGTCAGTCAGTCAGTAAGCCAAAAGAAGGCTTGGTTAATGTCCGGGAGCTGAAGCTGGAGCTGGGTATGTCGTTGTAGTGGCCACCACCATTGCATTGACCACTAAAAGTTTGCCATTAAAGGGCATAAAATTCTTCTATTTCCTGGCCGAGAGCGCGGCCTGCGACAACTATGGCAAAGTGGCACTTGAGTGGCGGCACTTTGAATGGGGTTTTTATGTGCTCTCCACTCGGCCTTCCCATCGCACCTTGTGCCGGCCTTCCCTTCCACTCGCTTTAAGCGTAAATTATGTTGTAAATACAATTTTTTAGCTGGAAAAATGTCTTCATCATCAAGTGGCCGTTCGGCTGCTTATCCCTTGCTGCCTGGTGTGAAGGCTCTGACTTGTGCTGAGGGCCAAAAAGGTTGCTAAGTGGAAATGGGTGCTTGGCGGAAAATGTATAAAAATATTGTTTATGCTGCGCTATGTGCGGAGCAAAGTGGGAAGTGAGTGAGACTCCAGTAAGAGAATCCTAAATCCATTTAGGCAGACTTCATCCAACAACATTGATTAGTATAATTGCCCCAAATATGTCGATTTATTTGTCTTATAACTCACTTTTTCGTATCATTAAGTTGCCTTAAATTGCATGCTTTAAACCAAGGATCTTTCATATGCATCTGTATGAAGTCTATTTCGAGAAATCTCTTGAGAATCGGCATAAATTCTAAACTAAATTGGCTACTGCAAACGGATTATCGATAGCCCGAAAGGCAATTGGCGGAATCCTTGCGGCCGTATTTAAACTTAAATGCGGCATAATAAGCCAGTCAAACTTGGCCCAGGCGGACAGGACACGACCAGTGAAGGGGCCAAGGACCCTCCACGGCCCTCTTCTTTGAAGAGATGAAACTAAAGCCAAAGCTGGATCCTGGACCCGACTGGCTTTCAACGGAAAATCATTACCAGAAATGTCCTGCAGCGTCATTTGTAAGCGCCTTTGGCACTCTGCCCTCTGTTAGGGGATTCGGGGAGCCGGAGGGACTGGAGCTCGAGGCGAAGTCACAGCCAGGACGAAACAACCGCTGGCCAGCAGCAGACACTTAAGTCTAATGGTTTTGTCAGCCACGCCCCTTGCACACTCTCCTCCTCCCCTGGCCATCCATAGCCATTGCCCCCTGGCACTCGCAGCGAGAGAATTCCCTTCAATTCGAAATGCCGCTGCACGCATACAAATTGACAATTTTATTAGCACATAAATTAGTAAAAATAATCAATAAGCAATGTGCCAAAAAGCAGTCCAAAGAAGAGGAGGGAAAATGTGTATAAATATCCACGTAAGTCGACTAAGGAATACTCTCTTGTCACACACAGGCAGCGCTGTACTTTTAGCATATGCCAAGTATTTTGACATGGAATAGAAACAGTAAATGGACCCATCGTTGAGGGAAGTTAATGCTCAAAATGGGAATTGGTAGATGGCTGAAATAAATTCAATTTATTGGCTGTATTTATGTTGCGCCTCAGCCCTCAGCTCCGTCTCCGCTGACCGAAGAATGGAATGGAATTGCAATTACCATGCCAATGCCAGGCCAGAAACCAATGTCGCTGCCAAGGCCTCGGCCAGGATTCCAGGATGTTGCGCGAAGACGGGAATATTGGTCAATTAGTAGCGGGGGCCAACGCATTTCGAGTACCTCCCACAACATCACCGATGTACATAGACGGACGGACAATTCGTTAATTCGTAATGTTCGTGTTCTTATTTTTCTCTGCTTATTTTCCAACCGACCTTTTCCCCCTCCGACTTTGCTAATTGCTTAATTCACGAACATTTTCGCATTGCACAGAATTTGGGTTGATGCTGTGTTGCTGCTGCTGCTGCTGCGGGGCGTGGCACCCGAGTAGTTTTCCCAACTATTTTGCAGCAACAACAAAAAGATGAAAGTTTTGCAACTGCCGCCGCCTCCTGCGCGCATCTGACGATGACGTCAAGTGCGGCGATGATGATGATGTTCATGTTGCTGCTGCTGCAGTTGTTTCAGCCCGGAGTTGTTGCTGTTGCCGCTAATTAACTCGATTTTTGGAAGGGAAACCCGTTTGCTAATTTGAAAACGAAATAGTTGCCCGAACCCCTTTGGGCCACTGAAGTTATGAAACCTGCAATGAGAGATGCACAAAAACAGTGAAATATTTTATTGCTATGAGGTATAATAAATATAATTAAATCTTCTCTGAACCTCTCCTGGTTCTAGCTTAAGTTCCGTCCAACCATAGAAACTATCTGTTAAAACCTTGAAATATCCTTTCAGTTTGATGGTCCCAACACTTTCCCTCATCACGCCCACAGTTGCATGCGATTCGCGCTCAATGAATGCAAATTTTACCCCGACTGGCATGCGGCCAAGTTGGGCAAAAAGAATAATATAGAGCGGTGGCTGGGGGGGAGTGGCCAGCTTAAATGGCGGAAATGAAATACAAGTAGAGGACAAACGAAAGCGGACAGCGTCCAAGGGCGGGTCCAAGGGTCACACAATTTGCTGTCATACTTAACTGAAATTAGAACGTGATTAGATTTCATTTAAGCATTAAGCACAACTGACAGCCAGCATGACAGCCCCCGAGTGGGCCGAGTGGTGGGGTGGGGACGAGTGCAGAGAGGTTGAAAATGATATTTTGAGCGGGCAAATTTATTGACAATTAGCTAGGAGAAGTGTGAGGCGGATGATGGTGATAGAGAAATGGACTCGGCACGGCGAACATTAATTATAACGTGCATAATTAACAAATCTGGCAATCAGTGGAGCAGCGTCTTTAACTCGCCAGGAATTAGAGCCCTCCCCCTGGCACACACACACACACACACACACACACACCCGGAGAGAGCCCAATAAGCGTTTAATCAGAACCAAGGCCAAATCTGTGTGGGGTGCCTGACCCATTCAGGCAGCGCTAATGAAAGCACAGCCGGCAGAAATTGGTTTACGGGCTGTTTACGCAAGTAGAAGTTATTAGTTGTGCTCGGATGGGGAAAGGGGATTGGGGATGGGGGATGGGGGATGGGGTCTTGGGGATGGCATCCCCACACATCTTCTGGCTAATTTGTGGTATTAATGACAGTTAAGCGGAGTGGACTCAAATAGCCTCATAATTGGCAAAGCTTCAGCAAGCAATTCCTTGTCATCAATGCAATTGGGATTATCAGATGGAGGGAGGCTAGCACTTACGGTAGATTTCCGAAAGAATTGAGCAGAGCACAGGGAGGAAGTCATCAGCTGGAACCCACTCTATCTCCCACTCTTTTTTGCACCTGTCTTTATCGCTACAAAGTTAAGCAAACACCAATAGATTGGTTCAAAAGTTCAGGCCGTTGTTCAACCTTCGAATGCCAAAAGTCAAATTGTGTCAACTGCTTGGGCGTCGCAAAACAAACAAACAAAAAAGAAACAAGAGAAACATGTCAAGGCTGCTCTGCCGGAGACCCATCCGTGTGTGTCTCTGTGTGCCGTGCTACAAGCAAAACAAATTGCCTTTGAGGCAGACGATTGACGATTGCCGGATTGGACGTTGTTGTTGGTCTTTTGATTTAGTCGCTGGTGGGACGTTGCTTATTGAAATGCCTGTGCCTGGGACTGGGTCAGGTCAAAGGGCAAAGGTATATTTGAATTGTTAAGCAGGATGCCTGATGGCTGTATCTGTAAGCTGACAACTAACCCCGCCTGCGCCTTGACATCTACATATTTACCTTAACTTCTCAGGCAGAAAATTAAAATCTTACCCAGAGTTTGCCTCATCATTGCCTCTGATTAAAACTATCCAGTCAGTCCCTTTGGGCTCTCACTCCGTGTAGTTCTTCAATTACTTTGCATAAATGTGATGCGACACGGAGCGACAACCTAATTAGCTTACAGACATTGCTACATTTCATTAAACAAATGGTCTCTGGTGTATAATTTTAATACGCAATTACCAGCATTTCAACGACACTCGATTGCCAGATAGAACCCCTAGCATTTCCATCATGCTCTCCTGTTCACATTCCCAACTTTCCCCACTTTCCACTTCAACCTAAGCCGGAGCAATAAATTTCATTTGATGCTCGCTTTGCTGTCGAGTGTCGCGGAGGCTTAGGCCTAGGTTACCTTGACTCCTCAACCCCACAGCGAGGAGCTTTAAATTATTTGACAATTTATGCGAGAATTATGTGCGAATTGAGCCGCACATCGCCCAGGCAACCCACGAAAAACGAGCGATTTCTTTATTGCTCCGCCAGCATTAATCAATTTATTTAGTTGCCATGTTATGCCAGCTCACTATATCCAAGTGCAGATGTCCCATGGGTGTCGCGCACATGTCGCTGCGACGCACGAGAATCCGCACAGATGGCACAACGGACAGCAGCCCAGGTACTGGCAGTGGAGTTGGGTTAAAACGCCATTCTGATGGACCGGACACAAGGGAGGAGTGCCCAAATATAGCACAGCCTTGCCCAGAGCTGCCGAGTGAGTGATTAAAGTGCGTGGGGCGTGGGGCGTGGTGCCGTCTCATTACTCACCGTGTGCCAAGTGTCGAAGAGCGTGTTTAATTGATTTGAGTGGCTTGTGTTTCTTTTGATACTTGAATTTCATTTTCGAATTGAGTTTCAAAGGCGGAGCCTAGACTAAAACGGCACAGCATCCTCAGCTCATTCTCACCCGTTTCCGCTTACATTTCGAAATCATTTTGACGCCTGGCTGGCTGAAAGGGCGGGCGGAACTTCCGTTCCAGGTCGGAAATGGCCCTTGTCTTGTCATGGTTGAATTATTAAAATGTTTTAATTTGTGGCTAATTATTTGATTAGCGTTTTCGGTAGCTGTTGCTGCAAAAATATTACACGGAATAAAAGGTAATCCAAAGTCCGGGGAAATAAATAATTGATTGTTTTGTGGCTGCAGTTGTGCTGATTTATTTACACTATATAATAGCTGGAATTCAGTGTGGATCCGCTTACGCACATTACATACCCATTCGATTGCACAACTCGATTCAAGGACTAAGCCCTCGACTGTCTGTAATTTTTTGTCCAATGTTTCCCCGCCTACCCCGCCTCAGCGCTTTTTTCCAAACAGTAATTACCACGGGCTCTATAATCATTTGTGGACATGGACAAAAACAACTTGCATTCCCGGTGCGCAAAAAAAAAATAATAATAATTGCAGACTTTTAGGCGGAACCGAACAGATTCCCGGATACAGGTAGCCATGGCAGCTGCAACAAAAACACATTTAAAATGCAATCAATCAGCCAGAGCAAAGAAATAAGCGCCCCGCAGAAGTTGCGTAAAATCGAAATTAATTTGTGTGCACATTTATTTATTTATTTTTTGATTACCCCTTAAACAGTCTCGCCCATGCGGAAAATGCATTAATAAAGTTTTACTGCACTGACCCTTCATTTAATTAAATTCAATATTAATTTGCTACAGCACGAGGCTATTTGAACAGTCAGTTAAAAATTGTAAATGAATTATTCATCAGAAAACAAGTTTATATTTAACTTGAGATGAGAATATTCAGCTCTATTTTCCGCTACTTCACCATTCACAAAAAGAAATGATTTTGATTGAACCCAACCGCGAATCCTGTTCAGTTAGATAATTAGATAAGATTATAATCTGCTTACCTCGTGGACATTAAGCAGTGCCTCGTTCATTAACCCATAAAGCTTCGCTGGATAATTGGCATTACCATTAACTGCTCTCGAGGCTTACGAGCCGAATCCTCTTGAGCTTGACAGCGGCAACAAAGCCTTCGCCGGACCCGGAAGCTCTGTCTTGTTTCAGCCATCACTTCATCATTCCCATCGTTCCAGCCAGCCAGCCACACACTTTAACAATTATTGCCAACCACATGGACATGTGCCCAGACATGGACATGGGCATGGACACGAGCAGCATCGAGACGAAGATTTACACAGACATGGAGCCCGAGCCGAGTCAGATACGGGGAGTGCATGTAATGTGCTCAATTTTTCGCATTTTGCACATCCGTCGGGCGGAGCAGGGCAAAGCAAAGCCGAATGGCCACCTGCCAGCCATAATAATATTAAACAATATATATAAATCACTCAGCTGTCTGGCAAGCGGCAGCAGCAGCAGCACCAGCAAAAAATCAGCAAGCAAGAAAATAAGTCGAGCAAAGGCAAAGTGTCGGCTGCTCCAACCGGACCGAGTTGCACAGAGTGGAAAGCAAAAGGAGCAAAAGAAGGAGGAGGAAACACGGCTCTGGCAGGAGGAAAGTTTCATAAAAATGTACCGCCATAATGCTTATTTTAAAAGTCAATATGTTCGGTGCCTGTTATTTTAACACCCATCGTGTTCAGGTGCCACCGGTCCGACATCCTCGTTCTCGTCGTCGACGGTCACATCCGTTTGTGAAAGTACGAGACAAGCGACAGGAGCAGCAACAGCAGGAGCCAGAGAAAAATGTCAGTGGCCAACGTCACAGCCCACAACACACAACATAAACATAAAGTGAAAAGTTGAGCGAGGCAAGAGGGGAAAAAGAAAATAAGTTGGAAGGTCCACAGCACACTCCCACCCTCCGCCTCATCCGCCAGCCTTGTAGAGGCCATCTAAAGCCAAGCGTCACATGTCGCCAGGATGCGACGGAGAGAGGAGCTCGTTGTTCATATCCTGGGCTGTCGTCCGTTTATGTGACATGATTATGTGCAAAAAGTGCAACAGGCAACCAACCGAGTAAGCCGCCCCCACACATCCGAGACACCTGACCTGAAAGTAGCCCTCGAGCGAGGCGAGGGTGGGGCACGAGCGCCAGCTGGGCCGTCTCTCACCTCTGTTGACAGGCCGGTAGCCTGGTGGAGCTTACACGTGATTTTTCAACCCAATCTCGCACTCGGAAATTAGGGAAAGGGTCAGAGATGTCACCTGCAAACACCCTTTTGAGTATTCCGTAACCGTAATCAGCTCGCAGTAAAGTCCAACCGCTTGATTATCAGCCCCAACTAACGCTCAAGCCGATCCTAGCAACGGTTTGCACTGAAAATCTTCAAAAATGAATTATAATTTTCCAAAGAAGGGCATGTTAAAGAGTGTAAGTTGAGGCAGTATTCAAAAATATCTCTCATTAAAAAACGGGTCTGCTAGTAAGTATTTCTGTAAGGCTGTGAAGGTAGCCAGCTGGCAGTAAACAGGATTCTGTATCAGAGGATCGGCAGCTGCTTCCAGCTGGTCTGACACATCCAGAACTCAAAGGACCGCATCAGAATGATCTCGATTAGTAAAATTGCGCTCGTGCTCAGATATTATTATGCTTTTTCTCCTTTGATTTGGCTCTTGCAGCTCTGAAGAATGAAGAGCTACAGATTGCAGCAGCTAATTTTTACACTGTGTCCAATAAGAGTTTCCTCCTAATTCCAGAATGACTCATCTATATCCAAATGTGACTATGTTGTACGCATAATACAAGTGAGATCATCAAGCTGATTTTGCGTTCCATTACAGCAGGCTAATTTACCTATGAGAATGCAACTGATTCATGCGATTACATTCAATCTCTGCAGAATGGAGCACTGCGTCTTCGGTCAATTGAGTCACAGCAGAACGAGTTCTTCCACATGTGGGGTACTCCTTGCAATGCAATCGCATAACCTGCTTGTCGTTCGCGCATAAAAGCTTAATCTGTGGCACTCTGCTGATAAAGCGCACATCGAGCTCAGTACGAAATCAGCGTCCAGTCCGAAGAGTAGCGTCCCCTTGCGAAGTTTCTAACAAAACATTAAATTTAAAGATGAGCTCTCTAAAGAGAACTCTGGGCTTGCCTATTGTCTATTGTCTATTGCTGTCTATACTTGTGCCATGTGCAGTCGGCTTGCCAAGGTCATTCGATGATACTGACCAATACGACGACAGCAGCGACCCATATGGGATTTCTTTCAATACAATGTCAACCCCCGCGGCAGAATCGTCAACTATAAGGAACGAGGTAAGGCCTAAATGAGTTGGCTCTCTGGATAATCAGCAGTTTGTTCATCTACAGGATCGATTCATCGATCTCTCACAGTCCAACCAATGCGGTAAATCTGCCAGTGGTATTGTACTTAGAGATCCAACGCTCAATACTACGTATCAGTCGGAGTACGGCGAGTTCCCCTGGATGGCAGCGATCTACCATAATAGCCAATATATTGCCGCAGGCACGCTGATTCGTCTGGATGTTGTTCTAACGTCAAAGGAGTCAATAGAGGGCATACCGCTGCAGGAACTTCAAGTGGTCGCCGGCGCCTGGGACTTGCGCGGTTCGGTGGAAAAGTTTTCCAAGCTCAATCGCTCTGTGATTGACGTTGCAGTTCGGGGAAGTCTCGCCATGATCTTTCTGAGCACGCCCTTCTTCAATCCGCCGAGCATTCAGTCAATTTGCCTGCCGCTGCCAGGGGCTGTGTTCACCGAGAGCGACTGCAAGACGATAGGCTGGAGTCAGCCCGACACCGACACCAGTCAGTCGGACATCCTCTGGTTCAGAAAGAACGTTGTCATGCCACGAGAGGATTGCGAAAGCCAATACGATTTCCGAGGCAACAGGTCAACCCTGGAGTCCGGCTTCTTCTGCGCGGTTGATGTGTCCAACGACACTAGTCCTCTGAATAGTGGCGCTGGTCTTTTCTGTATAAATGAATCCACTAGAGATTCAGTTATGGCAGGCATGGCCCTCACAAGCAGGAGCTGGAACTTCGAGAATCGGCCAGCTCTCTTTGCCAATATTTCGCACTATGTGGAATGGATTCAGAGCGAATTGACTGTAGACGAGACGAACTAAAGTCTGTATGTATGTACAGATGTCTGTATGTTATGTATTTATGTACGCCATATATTTTTCATTACTTGTCAGCCAAGCATGTTTATTTGCACTTGTCTGTCTATCAGCTCATTGAACCGTACGAATTTCGTCTGCCAGTTTCTTAGGTTTGTGAGTATTCTGGGACTTGTTTTCTTAAGAACGAAATTAAAGAACCATTAAATACCATCTACATTTTAAATCGATCAAAGAATATTTTTAAATATTTACACTGATTAGAGTTAATACTGAGACATTATTATGACGAAACCCTATCCGACACACTATTTGAGAGCTTGGCTTCAGAGATTGGGCGTCGGTCGCTCGGCTCTTGGTGACGGCACGCGTATTTTTTACCGAAAAAAAAAGAAACAAAGAGAGAGGCAAACAAAAGCACAATGTGAAATTCGAATTTTTGGCCAGATGGCCGCGATCGCTTTTGGGTTAGTGGTTTTTTTTTTCGTTGGGCGGTGGGGCGTAGTACAGTTAGCTGCTCTTTGCTGCTCGCCTGTTCAATTAGCAAACTATTTAAAATGTTTTAAACTTTTTCAGGCTGTGTGTTGTCAAGTTTTATGAACAATATAAAAACATTTATAAGAAGAGGAGTGACATACCACCAAGCACTCCACCGTGTGAGGGTGATGGAGCCGAAATTGTGGCATACTAAACTTGCCCTTCTTTTTGCTGCTCTCTGCCTCCCTCTTGACGATCGTACATCCGTCCCGCTCTCAACTCTGCTACGGCGTAGCTGTAAATCCGTAAAACTAGGAAATACGGTATTATTTTGTACTAATTCGAATAGGCGAGCAGCTTTCTACAGAGAGATGCGTCTGTACGTCACTTGGACGAGGCGGCCCTGATACCCGTGTACACATTTACATACACACACACACACACGTCTGGTATATTTGTGTTTCGTCAGTGTGTTGTTTGCTTTGTATATCGCTCTGGTGTCTGCCTCTGGCAATGAGTTAATGTATTTATGCGATACGTTGGGACTCTTGGCTGAGCTTTATACTCATTTGTTTAAACAATAAATGCACTGAGCGAATCATTCTTGTAAGTATTCTTTTCCAAAAGTAAAATATGAGCTGTAATGAAATGTATGAAGGTTGCTAGCTGCCTCTACAGAATGTACAATCAATTTTACCCCTGGCTTTTCGTTTCTTTTACCTAAATTTCTTTAAGTGTAATGCCATTTTCAAATCACGTTTATCCAAAAATCAAGGGACCAGTGAGATCCAGACGCCTCCACTAGATCACTGAACGCCTGGGATTTTGGATAAACGGTCAGCGTTGAAAAGCGGCATCGAAAGTACTTTTCAGAGATCCATAGAAGATCGGCCGCCAGCCCTAACCAGCGGCATGACAAAACATTTTCAGAGAACAACCCAAACGCCTCGCAGCCCCCACTTTGATTCCGCTACAGCTGCGCGTGTGTGTCATTACTTATCAACTGTGGGTCGGTCTCGCCGCGTGCCGCTGTACGTCACACGCTGGCAGCCCCAGTACCAGTACCAGCACCAGCCACAGCCCCAGTCCCCGCCCCCCCCAAAGCCGACCTATCCACTTATCCACTTGAGCGAAGCGTGTGAATTGCATTCGACAAACGACTTTCAAACGCTTTCTGGGCGCTTGTTACAAAAAGTTTATAATTTCGTATTTAACAAAAAAATTAATGTTTTAAACCTTGAGTGGGGAGGCGGACCAAAGTTTATAAACATTTCCAGAGCCCCCTCAATGTGGGCATCCAAAGAATAATAAATACAGAAAAATACTATAATTTTCCATAGTCATTTCTTTTGTATGTACAAAAATGAATGTACAAATGAACATACATTTATACATACATTCATTTGTACATATTTATATGGGATCGGTTTAGCAACAAAATAGAGATAGTTTCTACCTAATTTTAATTAATTTACCATTTATGTACGTGTACTTATTAAAGTGAAGTCATAGGGTAGTCCGAACAATATTCGTTCATTAAGTTTACATATGTGTGTATGTAAACACATGTGTATGTAAGCATTTAGTCGCCGTCCAGCGCGGCTGATGTCATCAAAACCAAAACAAGGGGCGTCGGTCTGACGAGTATTAAAAATTGACTCAGACAGCTTTCTTCTATCTCTCTCGCACACGTACCATAACCGAATCCGATTTCGAAACGTAACTACCGCTGACGTCAGCGTGCCCGCTCTCTCACACTTACACTCAGTTTCTCCCGCCTCTCTCTCAATTGCTCACGTAAACACAGTTGCTGGCTCTCTCTCTCGGTCAACGATCTTCAAAATTTGGAGCCGCAGAAGTTCAATGAACCACCGAAAAAGTGAGCGCTGGCAAAGCGATCAGCTTGCTTCGGCCGCTGTTCGCCTGGTACCCGCAACAGGGGTCTGATTTTTCTTTCTATCGTGAAGCGGTGGTTTGAGCAGCGATCGTCGGCAAAGGTGGGTCAGGGGCGTTTCCCTGAACGTGACACTGTTGGTGGCCATTTACCTCGGGGCTCGAGGGCTGTCCACGCCGGAGCGTTGAACCTTGAGTGGGGTCAATGTGTGGCGGATGCCCTCGGAACGGGTCTCGGAACGGTCTCGCCCTCGCCGAAAAGTAAAATCGAAACCCAAAACTGGGTCAAGTGAAGCGCTAGCAGCTGCAAGGGCACCACACCAACCGAGCTCCAGGGTCGAAACCGAGTTCACTTTCGTTTTTTATGTAGAAATCGATAGCTGGCTTTGCTCGGGGAACAGGCGCGCAGAGACCACCGCAGTGAGATAAACGTCAACCCAGTGCGAGGGCCGACTACAGTTGTGCGTATGAAACAAACTGTAGCTGTGTCTACAAGTGTGTAGGACGCACCCTCCTCCAGTCGACCAATGCTGTTGCGCTCTCGACGACAATCCGAGTAACAGTGTGTCAGTCCGTCCGTCCGTTCGTCCGTCCACTTACTTCACTCTCGCTTTCAAAACATGATCGATAATATACAGGCAGCGGCTACCAGGCCAGCATAATAACCCAGCTGCTGCGCTGCACTCCACCACTTTACTCACTCCATTTCTTGTGACCTCGTTTTTCTGTTGCTGGCTGCTGTTTTTGTTGTTGCTTTGTTTCGTTTCGTTTCGTTCATTTCGTTGTTGCTTCTCTTTTGCTTTGCTGCTGAAAACTTAAACAATGGAATCGTCCCACAAAGGGAGAGGAAGAGGGCGACAAGAGCAAATCTGACGCTATGTCGGTTAATGCGATTACATACAATATATCAAATTGAACTGATAGAATGGTTGAATGGAATGTGCATTGAGGGGTATTAGTACCCGTTGTTGTCTGTAAATTATAGGGATTATATTAAATTACAATACAATACAAATATTTATGCAAGTTAAATTTATGATCCTATTAGTAATTATATTCCCTAGTACTCGACTTCAATGAGCGATAAAAATGTACATATTTACATTCATAGCTACGTCTGTATTTGCAGACCGTATTTTTCATATTTATTTATAAATCACGACGATACGACTGTTTTGTTGTTGCTTTAGCCACCTTCAGTTTTTATTGTATCCATTGTGAAGCGCGCTTCGCTTCTGGTTTTCCAAGGTTTTCCAGTTCGATCAGACAACAAGCTCAAGGTTTCCTTGATAAAAACTGACTGCCAAGTTAGTGGCAGCAGTGGCAGCAGCGGCGTTGCTGGGCCTCTTCTGTTGGCCTGGCCAAAATAGAACAGCAACGGTTTCTAAATAGTCAAATCCGTCGCCAGCCAGGCCACCGCCGACCCATACAATTCTCATTTTCGGCAAAACAAATAGTGTTTTGCTTACGCAAATTTGTACTGCCCCCAGCCAGGCAGCCGGCTAGAGAGCCGGCCCGAGTATGTGATTAGTTTTTTCGTACTATTTCGAACCGGCGCTCAGCCCCGCGAGTAGCTGACGACGACGACGACGACGGCTGGGCAGCATGAAATATTTATGCTGATACAAAACAACGAACGCGTACGCGTACGCAGCGCACGGCAACCAACCCAACCAACCGAGTGCCATTCAAATCGACGTGAAACAACAATTCAAGGTTAACCAGAAACAAACTGAAATCCAACAACGACAACGACAGCGACAACGACAACGGCGTTGTTGGCGACGAGCCCCAGTTGCCAAGTGGGGGATCGACGATGGGGCAATTGTTTCAACAGAACCCCTGCTCCTCTCAAACTAGAAACCGGTTATTGTTTCACTTTTTTTCTGTCACAATTGTGCAGTCAGTGATCATAGAATAAGTCTACAAGCTAGGACAATCCCCGGGTTCTTATTTTATGCAAAAGTTTAAATCTAAAAAGACCGAGTTTGAATTTAAAAATCTAAGTGGAGTGTCGGTGAATGAAGTGTAGTAATCTGCAGATCTGTATGAAAAGTTGGCCATTACAAAAAGATGTATGTACATATGTGTTTATACATATATTATACATACATTTACACCTATAGTTCCCATAGTTTTGTTTCGCTATTTTCAGCCAATTAACTCGTTCGTACTATGACTCAAACAACAGAGTTCATGTGGTCATCTCTGCTATAGTTTTATGCTGACGGAAATCTGTTTCTGTTTCTGCTTCTGCTTCTGTTTCTGCCTAGCAGTTGGGGTTCAATGAACTCCGTTGGGCACGCCCAACCAAACTTTTGTCTTGCGGAGCAGCCGGCAGCACAGCTCGCTGGGCACCTGGTCGCTTGCCCCAACTCAATTTCCTAGATAGTTGATGGCATCTTTGCTGTTGGTAAGCGACAGGCCCCCTTATGATTTATGGTTGCTCTCAGAGAGCGGGGTCCGCCAAAAAATTCACTTTCGATTTTAATTTCCTAGGAAGCTTTTTATAATTTCGAACAGGGGCACAGCGTAGGGCCACAGGGTCGCTGCCGCGTCGTGTGGAGATCACCCCAGCGTGTGTGTTTTATTATCAGCTTTTGAAGTGGAGCTCTTCTGGTTGTCTCTGTTCGACCAATGAGTTTTGGCTACTGTCTCTTGGTGTGGAAGTTTTGTGTACATTTTCGTTTAGTAAAGAGCAGCGTCTGGCTGCTTTTTCATGGTCGCTGACCCACTTTTTGGAGGCTTTCGTTTCTTTATTAGCTGGTGAAATGTTTTCGACTTAAGCTGGGTGTATTTTGGTGTGTATTTTGTGCCACTTAAAATGTCATGGCTCCATGGAAATCCGGAATTTACGAGAACGCTTCCGCCTCTGCTTACATGTCAGGGGTTCCACTGAAACACTGGCACAGAAATCCATTGTAATCCCCTTGGGGATCATAATTAAGCCACAATAACTTGTCATATTTAATCCGGTCTGACATTGCGCTCGGCTGTTACTTAACTTGCAGTAACAGGCAACCCGCACTCCAACAACAACTCATTTACACCTCTCCCATGCTGTTTTAAAAATCTTGCCTCTACCATTTACCATTTGCAGGGCTGACTGTGGGGTTGCGCGATGTCAATGTTCGCATCCCATCGGCCGTTAAGCGCGGCGATAATGCGCTCTTAATCTGCAATTATGACATCGAGAACGATACGCTGTACACGGTAAAGTGGTACAGGGGCCGCCGGGAGTTCTATCGCTACACGCCAAAGGAGAATCCCGCCTGGAAGATATTCACGAAAACGAATGAAATCGATGTCGAGGTAAGTGTCTGCTCCTCTGGCTGATGATGATGATGATGATATTGATTGAAAGCGAAAAACAGAGACAGAGAGCCGAAAGCCGAAAGCCGAAAGCCAAAGAGTTGCCTCGTGTAAATTGCTTTAAATAACTGTGCGCTGACGGCATTAACGTTGCTGGCAGCCACCTCCCCATCCGTGGTGCCAGCCCGACTCACAGGAAGTGTAAACAGAGTGGGCCTGGCCCCAAAGTGTGCGTGCATCGATGTTTGTTTTATGCATGTTAAAAAGTTTTAATTAACAATTTTGACTTTTCACTTGCTGCGGCTGCTGCTGCTCCACCGTTGTCCGCTGTCCGCTGTCCGTGCATTTATTGTTGACTTTTGCTGACATTTCGATATTAAAAACGACGGAAAGGAATGACAAAAAGCACGCATGAAATAAATAATAAAAAAAAAAAGAACACAAATAACTGTTGCCATGAAAAAACGTTGATGTCGAAGGGCTGACAGGCGTATCTTATATAAGCAGTCGTGTAAATGCATTACGCAAATAGCTGTGGGATGTGAGCTGCAGGTTGTGGGCGATTTTTGTTGTTCTGCAGCAAATTAATTGCTCGGAATTATGAAGAACAATAAGCCAAATGATTGGCAAACCCTTGGGTAACCGGAACAGGATAGCAGATATTCTCCACAGTTTCTTTTCAGTTATTTTTTTTATAGGCATGTACGATCCCAAGTTGTGTTATAGCTTCCTGTGCTTAAAAAATAAATCTCTCCTTCACAGACAACTCAATCGAATGCCAGCCATGTGCTGCTGCGAAATGTTCCCACCTCCATATCGGGGAAATTCGCGTGCGAAGTGTCTGCCGATGCTCCCACCTTCGACACCTCCATTGTGGCCGCCGACATGGAGGTTGTGGGTAAGCCCAGACAAAAGCTCCTCCATCTGTGTGCGTTTAATGAATACAAGTTTTATTTTTCTTTTTGATCAAGAATTACCCACCCAACGACCGATTATAACTGGGATACACTCCCGATATCGCCTGGGAGACATTGTCAATGGCAACTGCTCCTCGGACTACTCCAAGCCGGCGGCCAATCTCACCTGGTGGATCAATGACATACAGGTGCCGCCCAATTACTTGCGCATCTACGAGATCCAACGGCATCTGGCCGAGCATCTGGAGTCGGCTGTGCTGGAGATCAATTTCGTGGTGACGGTGCATCACTTTATCAAAGGGCGCTTGAAGGTGGGCTCCTAAACAATCATTTCCACTTTTTAGGCTAATTATTTATGATTTTACAGCTTAAATGTTCGGCACGTATACACGATATCTATGCACAGGAGAGCGAGAAGCTGCTTGAGGAAGATCGCCCGAGGATCTTGGCCTCAGGCCGCTCCCCAGACATGAACATGTATCCCTTCGATCAGCCCGGGGATGTGGATGAGCACAACGAACTCTTTTTGACACATAAAAGTAAGTACAAGGCAGAGCTCCTGGAACTTTAACAGCCCCAAAAATAGTTTGTGTCCGCCAATGAGGGTAATCAATATCTCATTTGATTAACTTTCGCACATTATTCAATGAGCTTTGGGTGGCAGTTCGGTTGTTCTCGTTGCTTCAAAATTAACCTTCAGATAAGCAACAGCCACGCCCTAATGACAGGCAGATGTACAACCACTGGCCGGACTGGGACTGGGACTGGGACTGGGACCTCTGCGGTTGTTGGCCTTACAAATCTTGGCCTGATTGTTTTTCCAACGGAAACAAATGCACACTGGGATAACACAGGGGATAGATTTACACACGCACGCCATTAGAATGATAAACTGTGGGGCATTAAATCAAAGTTGGGCGAAAAAGGACGAGCCACCTTATTAGCTCGTTTCCCCTCTGTGTGTGGGTGTGTGTGGGCTGTGCCATGGCCATGGCAACGATTTATTAATGCTCTGCGCTAAGCTAGAAGCAATTAATTCAAAGATTAATATGACCAGCGGGTGCCCTCGCTCCTCTGCGCTCCTGATTTCAATCTTTTGGCTCCCTCTTTTAGATGCTGGCTCGTCTGCCGCCGGACTGCGGCTGGCCCTGGTCAACGTCAACTGGAACTGGAAGTGGAAATGGAATCTGATGCAGGGCAATCAGCTGCTTACCTTCCTGCTGCTTGCACTTCTGTGGCCGGCCATCTGGCTGTGTGACTGGCGGCACTTCGGTTGCCCCGACTGGCAGTGGGGCAGGAACCTGTTCTGGCACAGTTGCTGCAACGCCGATGAGACGGAACGGTGATGAGTCGGCCACAGATGGCGGCCGAGATGGAGAGATGGACTTCAGGCAGGACACAATGAGGTGCGCTGGCCGACGAGGCTTTAGTTTCAGGTTCATCGAATTCGGTAGACGACGAACCCCCTGTGGATCATCACCGAAACAATTATAGAACTCATAATATACATATATACATATATATAGATATATAGCGAATCGAATAGCAAAATAACGAATACAGAGCAGAGGTCCTCACACATATACCTAAACCTAAACCTAAACCTAAACCTAAACCTATGTTAAGTGACTGTAAAAATCGTACCCCATAACCCTCTGGTAGCCCCCTGCTCGTACCCTCAGGCAAGTGTAAATAACCATAGAAACCATCATCACATGCATTTACTCTCTAAGCCAGATTTCCAACGATTGCTTTCCCCTCGTTTCGTCAATCCTTCACTGGGTTTGCGGTTTCTGGGACTCGTCCATAAGTTCTTCTGTTCGCATCTGTATCGAAAAACTTGTACAACTATTTAGCCATAGAGTTATGTTTGTTTGTTGTGAGCCTGAGTTTAAAGTGTGCAAAAAGGACTATTGAAACTAAGCCAAATAAAGATTCTTTTATTTGATCAAAACTCAGCATGCGTTTATTTCCTGAAAGTTCCTGAAAGGTAAGCTATGTGGAGGCCACAAATGATGTATTTTATTTGGGTAATTTCACTATCTTTATCTAAGATTCATGCCACTGAATGTTCTGTCCACATCGAGAGAGAGAATTCAGCTCTGTGGCTGTGGCTGATGCAGAAAAAAATTCTATTCCGAACTCTAACGAACTCTCGCACAGATCAACCCATCTAATAATAATTACCTCATTCGGTAGAATAATTTCCTTAGCTCTATAAGACGCACATTATTCTGGGATTTGTGTCTTCCATTCAGCAATTATCCATTTCTTATTCTTCGTTGATGCTTTTTGTGCCGCGGTTGACCCCTGAATTACCCATTTCTGGCTAAGTGTAAAATATTGCGGCGTCAACTGCAAAAATAAGCCAAAAAAAGAGACACAAAAGCAGCAGCAAAAACGCAAGTGAAAAACTTGTAATTTACGTGGCAAAAAGGAAAAACAACGGAATGCCAGCGACACACAGGCAGAGAGTGGTGTCCGAGTCAGTGGAATGACACGGAAAACGGCGTCAAATGGGTTGGACCAGGCCCTGATTCTGCTCCTGCTGCAAGTGTGGGTGTGTTTTGTATCTCAAAAAAGCATTTGGCAACAAACACCGCACAAAGCACAAAGCCATGACAATTCTCTGTGTCTGTGTGTCGTTGGGTGCATACTTTTCAGCTGCTGCTGCTGCTTGCAATTTCGCACTCGACTGCATCTGCATCCTGCCTCCTGTGGGCGCTAAACATCTGAATGTGGATAGGTTGAGGGAGGGGTTGGGTAGAGGGGGAACGACTGTTGCAAAAATTTATTGTGCATGTGAATGGCCTGCTGGTCTATGCGTGGGTCCGTGCCTTGCCAGCCAGCCAGGCCAATTGCTTGAAAGTGACTTTTGGCAGGGCAAAATGCAAGCAGCAGCAGCAGATAGACACAGAAAAGGGAGCAGGAGCATCGGTCAGCGTAGGAGCTGCTTAATGGACAATCGAAAACGCATTCAACCGGCAATTTCGGTTTGCTCCCTCCGTGGCGCCGGGCATCGCCGCTGATGCCACGTTCGGCAAATTGATTTCCGTTTGCGGTCGCCTGCCTGCCTGCCTGCCTGCCAGCGTCAACAGGCCGACGACGACAGGCATTGCCGCCGTCAGGTGGTGCACTCATTAAAACTGCACTGCAAAAGAACAGATCGGCAGGAGGTGGCACGGCACAACCACTTGCCGTTGTCAAAAGCATTCAGCCACTGGGAAGCCAAAGGAGCACCAACTGAGGCGGAAGAATGAGAAGCCGCCATCGTAAGCTCTTTTGCACTCCTGTTTCTGACTTGCATGGAACGCACACACACAAACATTTGTTAATTACTTTTCGCGACTGCCCGGCGTGTGTTGGCCCCCGACGTGGTCACAGCAAAACGAAAATCGGATTCATTTTGCCATCTCTTTTTTGTGGAGTTCGAGAGTTTGTCGGCACCCCGAGCGCTGTCCATTGTTATGGACGCGCTGAAATTGAAATTAAGCAATTTAACTTTGACAATTACAACATGAAAAACATCGGCGTTGAACATGAATGACAGACAAGCTGCAGTCTGCGAAACAAATTGAAAAAAAAATAAAAGCCAACAATTTGGGGTGCGAAAGAGGACCACGAAACGAATTTAGAGAGAACTTTTCCCACACTTTTCAGCTGCAGAAATTGTGGACTGCTAGGTAAGGCTTTCCCTTCAAATATATATTAATTGTAGATGATTAATGTTTCGGAACTTGAGCCTTAACTTTGTGATAAACTTGACCGAATTTGGAGGGCTAAAAAAAGGAAATGGGGTCCGCGCTTGGATACGATTTTTGTAGACACCAAATCGAAACATTTTGGAGCCATCTCTTGGGGTTTTCCAAATGGTTTTACACAAAAGATAGTGGCATATTTTTGGGCTGAGAAAAGTTATGAACGAAATTTAATCACTGACTGATGCATGAAGATGGGAATGCTAATGCGTCGCTGACACAATATTTGACATTTATAATGGAGAGTAGGAGAGTAGATACAAGGCGACCAATATGCATATCCTGTGGTCAGTTTTTCTATCAGTTATTTTAACATTCAAATGACAATGATTGCAGCTGCAGATGAAGGAGTTCGTTCTAGTGGCCAAAAAAAAAAAGAAAGCTTATTTAAATCATAACTCATAAGGACTGTCATCCTTGAACCGTTCTTAACATACGACTAAGAACACACAAATGTTAAGTTGAGGGAAAGGCAGCAATATCTGTGCACAAAATGAGGCACAGATTTGTTTATAATTTAGGATACTTTGCTCGTGCTTTCGATAAGTTTAAAGTAAACACTGCAGGAGAAGAACGCACCCTAGGGTCAGACATGGTCGCCTGGGAGTACCCTACTTCATATATAAACTTAATCGAATGCTTTGTGCAAATGGAGCATCCCTCCACCGATGGCAAATTACGTTAAATAAAACGCCATTCGTCTAGTCGAAGAGTGTGTTTCATTTTCACGGTCACCCATGTCAATTGGCACTTCATAAAAGAGCAGCAAAAATAATACAAAATAATTGTTGTGGGGGCCCGGCCAATAAATAGCAGCATCTGGGATGCGAAAGAGTTCAGTGCTGGAATCATTCTGTGTGCGATCGGACCGCTGGATAATCGATAATGGTGTGGGGCTCCTCTCTGTTCCTGTGCATCCTGGCGCTGGCCAGTGTGGGAGATGTGGTGAGGGCTCGCAAGGGATTCGGGCCAGGCGATCAGGACTGGGGCTATGTGGACGTGCGGGAGGGAGCGCACATGTTCTACTGGCTCTACTACACCACGGCCAATGTCAGCCACTACACGGAACGTCCGCTTGTCCTGTGGCTGCAGGGTGGACCGGGTGGAGCTTCTTCGGCGCAGGGCAACTTCATGGAGCTGGGACCCGTGGACATGCACGGAGAGCCACGCGAAGGCAACTGGGTGCAGCATGTGAATCTGCTGTTCGTCGACAGTCCCGTGGGTTCGGGCTACAGCTATGTGGACAACACAAGTCTGCTGGTGGCGAACAACGAGGAGCTCACCGATGACCTAATGACCTTCATGCTGTACTTCTACAAGGCCCACAAGGAGTTCAAGAGCGTGCCGCTGCACATCTTCACGGAGAGCTATGGCGGCAAGATGGCACCAGCGTTGGCCCTGAAGATGGACCTGGCCATGAGGAGCGGCCAGCTGGCAGAGCCCAACACCCTGAAGTCGGTGAGCATGGGAAGTCCGTGGATATCCACGCGTCACATCAGTCGCGAACACTCCAAGTATATGCTGGTGAACGGGCTGATCGATGAGGACGGGGCCAATCTGATTGACGCGCAGGAGGAGAAGATCCTACTCGCCCTGAAGCTGCACCTGTTCGAAACGGCAACGGATGAGTATCTGGAGTGGTTCGACCTCATGCAGAACCTCACTGGTGAGGTCTACCTGTACAACACACAGACCCATGTTGATCCGGAGGAGGATCGCACCTATGGCTACGGGGCTGACCTCAACCGCTTCATGCAGGAGAACATCAGCGATGCTCTGCAGATCAACGGCAGCATCTACAAGGCCCAGGTCATCGATGTTTTAGTCACACTGCACGGCGATCGCCTCAAATCGGAGATAAATGCGAGTAAGTTCCAGCTGACAATGTGGAGAATTAGCATCACCAGCTGTAATCCTTTCTGTTTTCCTAGTTCCTCGTTTGCTGAATGAAACTTCGATCAAGATCAACATCTTCTCGGGTCAGCTGGATTTGCTGGTACCCACCACAGCCACCCTGGCCGTGATCAAAGACTGGGCCTGGCGTGACAAGGAGGAGTACCTCCAGGCACGGCGCACTCCCTTTTCCGTCGGCGACAGACTGCAGGGCTACGAGAAGATCGGCGGTCGGTTCGGCATGTACTGGATCAATCGCTCCGGGCACCAAGCGCTCGCTGACAATCCCACAGCCATGCAGTATGTCCTGAAAGCTGTGACACAGTACAGCGAATAAATAACGAGTCGTAGTCCGGGGTAAACTTAATAAATGTATATACATCTGCAGTCAGCGTGTGGCATCTCTTTTGGGGGCTGTCCGACTGCCAGATGCCCATCCGGCCTCCGTCCGTTCTGTGAGTGTAAACAAAAAGGCGGCACGACCGGGGGTCAATGTTTATCTTATGGCAGAAGAACCCCCCAGTAAATGAGGTTGAATTAAGTGTGTATTTGGTTCACGAACTCTCTCCAGCGATGGCCAATTGTTTACCCCAAAAAAAAAGCACGGAATTTCCCACTTTATAAACAGCAATTGGCCGAAAGCTGCAGGTCGTTTCAGTGCGCATTTGTAGACACAGCAGAGCGTACACACAGCTCGGAGATAGATCCCAGAAGACGTTGAATGCAGCTCTATAGTCAGATCGGTGTGTGGACATGTGGCCTGCTGCTACTGCAGTGCCTGTCCTGGGTGGAGGGTGAGTTTGCCACGTGGAGAGTGTTTCCAGTAATTGTAATCCAGTGACCCGCCCTAGGACGAGTGGGGCTGGGACCCGGCGCTCAGGACTGGGACTATGTGGAGGTGCGAAAGGGCGCCCACCTGTTCTACTGGCTGCACTACACCACGGCCAACGTCAGCGCATTTACGGAGCGGCCACTGGTCATCTGGCTGCAGGGTGGACCCGGCGTGGCCTCCTCGGGCTGCGGCGTCTTCGAGCAGCTGGGGGCCATCGACATCGAGGGACGTCCACGCGACACCAACTGGGTGCAGCACATGAATGTGCTCTTCATCGACAGTCCCGTGGGAACGGGCTTCAGCTACGTGGAGTCGCACGGGCGGTATGCCAGGAACAACTCACAGATAGCCAGAGATCTGGTCAGCTTGATGCTGGTCTTTCTCCGCAAGTATCCGCAGTTTCAGGCCGTTCCGCTGCACATCTTCTCGGAGAGCTACGGCGGCAAGATGGCCCCAGAGTTTGCCCTCGAGCTCCATCTCGCCCGGCAGCGCGGGCAGTTGAAGTGTCGCCTGGAGTCGGTGGCTGTGGGCAATCCCTGGACCTCGCCGCTGGACAGCATTCTGGCCTACGCGCCCTTCCTGCTGCAGCTTGGCATCGTGGACGATGATGGATATCGCAACATATCCCGAGTGGCCGCCCAGATAGCCGGCCTCGTGTATGCCGAAAAGTGGATTGGAGCCCTGGAAAAGGGTTCCACCATTCAGGACGTGATTGGCGCATACACGGACGGCGTCTTTCTGTACAACACGCAACGGAGGGTCCACCTGGATGAGGTTTATCGGTACGGTGAGGACCCAAAGCTGAGCGACTTCATGCGCTCCAATGTGACGCAGGTGCTGGGCCTCAGCCACATGCCCGAGTGGATGCTGCAGAATGCCACGGTCTTCATGCATTTGGGCAGCGAAATCTTTAGACCAGCGATACACATAGGTAAAGCTCAGCTCAATCTTAAGCAAATGCATAAACCTAAGCCCTTTCCTTTACAGTCACACGATTGCTGGATGAAACATCCATCCGCGTGGGCGTTTATTCTGGCATTTTGGATCTGCTCTGCGCCACCCCGGGCACCGTCAACTGGATCAATCGCATGAGGTGGCGCCGCAGGGCTGAGTATGCTGGATCTACCCGCAAGTCGTTCCGCATCGATGGCATGCTCGAGGGCTACGAGAAGCACGGCGGTGGCCTTAGCATGTTCTGGGTCTACAGAGCGGGGCATCTGGTGCAGCAGGAGAACCCAGCGGCAATGGCACACATCCTGCGTTATTTTACCAGCTTTGGGTGAAAGTTTCTTTGTACAATCAGTAAAGTAAAATCGATTTGAGAGTGTTAACGCCCCCAAAGAACATCTCTAATTAAATGGCATAATTCGTATGACAAGGCCACAGCCCGGCCGCAGTTTGGGGCTAAACAATTTTCTAACAATTTACTCGAAATTAACTCAAATTCGGTTGCCGCTCCATTCCATCTCTGGTTGCCGTGCGGTTCGCCGCACCACACGGACAGACATTCGTCTGGCGTGCCCCAACTTTCCCTCTCTGCTCTCTGCTCTCTGCTCCATTGTTAGGGCATTTTACAGGTGCACCGCATCAATTTATTTTCCACACAAAAGCCTATTAAAACTCTTACACACTTGGGCATTGATGAGTGGCTGTGGGGGGAGCTGGCTCTGGGTCTGGCTCTGGCTCTGGGTCTGGGTAAATGTTTGCCAAATGAAACCACTTAACCTTTTTTTTCCCTGCTGTCGAAAGAAAAATGGGCAGAAGGCGGCAATTGCGAGAAAGAGGGCACAAAAAAGGGGCGTTTGGGCCGGGAACCGCAGCAAAACAAATTAATTAAAAACTTAAAAGTTCGTCTATGGCAGCATCCCAGCGGAGTGGCAGGAGAATGGAGAAAAGACAACGAACCAAAAGGCGAAGTGTAAGGACGATATCGGAATTTTTATTGGAACACAAATAATTATTTAAATGCGGATATTTTCTTGTCAATGATTTATGTAAGACACGAAACGAATCACAAATCAATGGAGGGGAAAACCTGAACATTATTTATCGTTTTGCATTTAATAAAATTAATTTTTTGTCGATACTTTCACATGACTCTTCGTGCTGCTATCACTCACGTCTACCTTGTCATCAACAACTAATTACGAAATACTTAGAGGGGAGAAAATTGTAATCAAATAACAATTGCCGCAAGGCTCGCAGCTGGATGGTTTTTCTATTCGCGTTCCACACGAACCACGCACCGGCACGTCAACGCCCAAGTAATTTTCACACAACTTAGCGCCACATATCGTGCATATTAATTATAGGCAAATCTAATTTGGCAAGACGACCTCTAGCCGGAGCCAGTAGTCACGTAGCAGGAGGATTGGGGCACCGAATCCGCACCGCTTCAAGTATGTGGATAATGCGCCTGCACGAATGCCACAAGTTCCCCCCGTGGGTTCGGCACCGATGGGTTGTGTGACTGCCACGTCTGTCGAGATCGAGCTATTGTAGCCATGTCAAATATTTATACTAAAGGTAAGGCAGCCAGGATTTGCCACGCAGCCCACAAATTGCTGATGTATGTCGCATGTGGGTATTTGTGGCTCTGGCCAAGGGTAAAATAAATTAAATGTCTTCTAAAAACAAAGGAAAATTCTTGCAAGAAAAATGTTTGCTGCCACCCCCGAGGTGCGGATGTGGGCAAGAAAAATGCGAGTGCAGAAAAACAAAGAGCAAATTGTGGAAATTCCGGAAAACAAAGGTGAATAAATCGGTGCTAATTAGTTAACAGTCAAATGCACATGCTCCACAGATGCCACACAGCAAGCGAGTTAAAGTCTCTCCCTAGGCTGAGACAGCTCCTCGTAGCTCTTACACTCACAATTTATTCGATGGGATAGCAGTGACCCTAGTGGGCATTGTCTCGCCTGCAGCGACAAGTCACCAATTCATCCAGCAGATGACCCGCTTCATTAAAGAAGTTTTCGAGGTTTTCCGCATCTCGAAACAAGTCGTTTTTGAGTGTGACTTTCTGTCCGTTCCACACTTTCCATTTTCGCATATTCTGGATGACATATTCGCAGAAGTTCTGCGTAGAGGCCAGCCTCTTAGCGCGCACCTGCTCCAGGAACAATTTGCGTTTGCCTGAGGGAGAGCCCGGAGTGGGAGTTTAGTAATGGAAAGCGGCGTAGATATCTTTTTCGCCTTACGTTGGGCTTGATTTAGCTGAATTTCGCGCACCGTCGGATTCACCAGGGACTTCTCGAACTCAATTATGACCTTAAAAATGCGTTTGTCCACGATCGCTTTGGGCAGCTGCGGTACGTCGTCCGGCGGAGGGCAAGCCGCATTGAAATTGGGTCCGCGATAGGGAATGGCAGTGGTGTATTTCGATTTGTGGAACAATCGGCGTCGCTCCTCCCTCACGGCTGCGCGGCGTGACATCAAACTGAGCATGCTGCCGCTGCAGAAGCGGAAAACCATGCTGGCTGTTATCTTTTCGACTTGCGATAGACAACTGGAAGACATGGCATTAAGATCACAGTCAGGGACTCTCCCTTGGTTACTCACTCAGACTGTCGCAGCGAGTAGACACCCGGTAGCTCCTGAGTCTGCATCAAGTGATGCAGCTGGAGGGCCACGCAGTGCAGCAGATCCTCGGCGGCAGAGGTCTGCATGCGGCGCAGAGTGTTCGAATCGTGCACTGTGTTCCTGATCCACCAGCCACGGAAGAGCGACTGGATCTTGATGGCCGAGCGGTTGTAGTGCTCCACAAGGCTATCCTGCAGGCGCTTCTCGATGTTCAGGGACATGTGGCTGCGTGCACGATAGCCACGCCACCAGCGCTGAATGTTGATGGTGGCAACCCAGCGCAGCTTCTGCCACTTTCGTACGAGATAGCCACGCCAGTGGGTCTGAATGCGACGTGCAGCGATGAACTGCTTGTAGTCCAGCACGAGCAGGGATGTCCTTGAAGGGGAGGAACCGGCGCCATGTAGGAGAATATTTATTTCTTATTCTAGCCCAGACTCACCTCGACATCTTCCCTTCCAAGCTGAACCATAGCTCGCTTTCCGCTTCCAGGCCGACATATCTGTGGGTTGATTTTTGTTGTCATTCCGACATTGACCTCAATGTTGGTTTTGCCTGAACTTACTCCATGGAGAAATCTGTCTTGCTGATCTTACCAAAAGCAGAGGAGTACAACAAATTGTCGCTGAACATGTTTTGTGTTGAATAGTTTCTGTTTGTTGAATATTTTAGTGTGTAGCTTTGTAGCTTGTTTGTGTTCTATTTTATTTGTGATAATGTTCAAACAAGTTGTTCAAAGCCAGTGGGAGAGTGACAGTTAGAGAACAATTTACAAATTGTTTGATAGAATTTCGCGACATGCGTGTATTTGCCTTGCCTCCAGCCCAAAACTTTGAAGCAGTAAACGTGAAAAGTATACAAATATGTTGCTTCGAGGCGTTAAAATAGATTAGATTGCATGTCAACGGCAACGACATCCCCTTGTCTCGGGGGGAAGACAATAAAAAGTCAACGTCCAAAATAATTTAAAGGTGAAAAATTGTCTGATAAAGTTAAGCGTCGGAGGCGGCGATGGAGTTGCCTGCAGGGGCTGACAAGCGTAAACTTTTCAATGTTGTCCCTGTCCCATGGTATTCCATCTGTGCTCCTTGATTCCCCGGCCTCCCCAGTCTCGCCGAACCCTGTTCCATGTGCTCAATCAATTTTTGTCAATTTTGTACTTCATTTTTCGGTTGTACGCTTCTTGGCACTGCTTGGCACGTTTGGGCTCACGTTTATTTATGTACGAGAATTCGCCGTTCCCATCGATTCCCATCGAGTCATGTTGATGGCCTCCCCATGCGATGATGTGTGCTGATATTTGACACTTTATTGTGTGCACATCATCTGTTTTCAAATTATTGTCAAGTACAGCGCAATGGAGTCAAGTGCAAGCTTGCCGGCTTCGCCTTTGATGTTAACAGGAAAATGTATAAAATGTAATTGTTTATTATAGAGAGACTGCATATGGATATTTTATTTAACAGGTATAAAAGACTAGAAAAGTTTCATTGAGGCATGTTGACTGCAAATAATTGGCAAATTAATTGGATTTTCCTTTGGTAGGTTTGTAAATTATTCCGCATATATAGGAACCTTTTTTAGTTCTGATTAACTATTACATATTACGGGTTTAGCTTTTGTTTATAATGCATACATTCATATAATACGTACATACATACGTCAGAGAGTCACGTGCATTGCAATGCATCGTTTACAGTCACCTGATGAGTCATTTTATTGCAGCTTACAAGCTAAGGCCACTCGAGAGCCGTGTGGATCGTGAGAGCGCTAACAGAGCTGTAGAGCTGGCTGTTAATCTGGGCTGTTAACGGCGCTGCTGCCAATAACTCTTCTGTTAGTTATTGCAATGTAAAATTTGCTTACAGCATTTTCATTTACAGCATGACAGCAAAAAATGTTATTCGTTCCGTTCTAGGCAGTTCCAAGCTGGGAACGCAGTTCCATCTTTTGCATGCATATGTACATATGATTGGGAGATTGACGTATAATTATCACTTTCTGACCAAAACATTTCTTACATATTTATTTATATTTATGTCTCGTGTCTCATGAGCACATCTATACTAAATACATTTGTATCTGCAATAACAAAATCTTTGCGGAGTATTCTTTATAAACTTGCTCTGAATAGAGCTTTACCCATTAAGATAACTAGCAGACACACACACACACACACACACATGGCAAAGAGTCGTCCCAGTCGACGTACATTTGGCGCGCCGCAAAGTATGCAATCAATTTTTATAGCCCACATGCAGCGACCAAGCCCCAGCAGCCCCGAGCCGACTCGTTTCCCGTTGACTCACCAAAAGCTCCACAGGAGTCTGCTGCCTCCGCCGCTGCCTCTGCCGCTGTTGCTGATGCTGCTGCAATGTTTCACTAATAATTTTCAATATAATCAGCACCTGTGACGATGTCGAGCGCCGAGCAACGACGAGGAGGCATTCGCACAAATGTTCCTAATGTATAAACATTTGTGTGTGTGAGCAGCGGCGGCAGAGTGAAGGGGAGTAAAAAAATACCGAAATGCCTCGGCGGGTGTGCCTATCTGCGGGGGGGCTATTGTGTAAGGAGTCGCCTATTCCGGCAGCCGCAAGGCTGCTAGCGGGGCAGGCTGGGAGTACAGGATGCCGCACCGTAATGCGCTTCGCTGGCGTTAATTTCGCCACATGCGGTTCTGATGTTCTGATGTTCTGATGTTGCCTGAAACAGGAAAAATAAGTGCAGAGAGCAGAAAATTCCGCTTAATGTAATTACCGTGATTTAAAGTTGCCAAACGAGAGACCTAACGCAGTAGTAGGGATCCCTGATTTAATTCTAAATTTAGTGTACAAACTTGGCGCTTCGATTGACTTCCTTTGTGCCTCACATTTACTGGTTGCAAGTACAAATATTATCTTTCCATTACCATTAAAAGTGTTGTAACAACTGGGTTTGTGTTTTCTAAATGAAAATGCCAAAAGGTTTTACTTTATTGCGAATCCACCGACCATATTGCCTGACATCAGTGAAATGAGTCTGGCCATTTGTTCTGGTACTCCAGGCGCCAATAAGATGATGAATACTGGTGTCTGTTGGACAGACCAGTGGTGCTCCGCGGGCATAGATGGGCTCGGTGCTGTTTTCAATGGCGCATATTTCCGTCGAGATGGAATTGACTGAGCATGAGCCACTGTCTATGGCCATGTCCACCTTGACGACTATGTCCCTCCATTGGCCAATGGACCTCGATTTCCAGCCCGTGATGAAGCACTTCTCAAAGAAGATTTCGGTGTCCTCGTCGTGCAGACAAACGGGCGTAATGTGCCGCAGAGTGGGAAACGAACTCTCCAGCATCAGCAGGGCAATGTTGTTTTGCGCTGAGTCCCAATTGAATTTCTCGTGCAGTATTGGAGTTTTCACTCTGACGCTGACATGGCTAACAAACTCTTTCTCTGTCATCAGATCCCAGTCACCGGCTTTCACCGTCAGCTGCCCTTCGCCATCCACGCAGGTTCCCGTTGTCAAGACCACATCATAGGCGATCAAAGTACCAGTGCAGACAAAATTGTGCTTGTCATTAAACAAGGCCACCACCCAGGGGTATTCCCCGAAGCTGGTCTGCAGGCTTCCTCCCCTTACGGTCATGTAGATGCCATCCACATTGCTCACACCACACTGACTGTTGTCAGCCGTAGGCTCGCGATTGATGATATCTTTCTGCTGCAATTGCAATGGAGAACGCAGTCAGTCAACGTTGGCCAATATGTGTTTTGATTTGTGTTCCTCACCCTATCCTCGGGACGACAGCAGGCCTCCAGATAGTGGCACGTACTAGCAGACTCTCGCAAATTGATGATTATCTTTCGAACGTTGCTGGCCGTTTCCGCGCACTCAGTGCGCTTAACGCAGATATTTTCCTTGAACATGCCACACCGCTTCACTTGAGTCACCGGCTGCTTTGTCGTGGTTGTTGTTGTTTCTGGAGCTGGTGTGGTTGAAGGGGTTGAGTCCTTTGCACCAAATACAATGTCAAGTGAGTCGTCATAATCCTCTTCCTCAGCAGATGCCGAACAGAGCAGTATCAACGCGAAGATCATCAGCACAGGTCCCCACTTTCCTGTTGGACTCTTCATTCTTAATCAATCGGTGAGGTTATCGGTTAGTAAAGTGTAAACAATATTAATAAAATAAGAAATGCCAAGGAGGCACACAACGACTCGTTTCCAGTGCTCGACAAGTACTAACTCCGCATGGCAATCAACCATTTCACTCAGCTCTCGATATCTCTACACTTTGAGTTGAGTACATAAAATCGTTTGTATTTATGTATACATATATTCAATTTATGATCTTGCTTTGAGCTTCCCAGAATTCGTGAGTGGCATTCTTATCAAGCCGGCTTAATTTTCAGCTTATATAAAAGTAAATATACGTATAAATAATGTCTGTGACTCACAGATGGAACGGCAGTGGTTCAATAATGTTTGATCTGCCGGAGAAAGAGTTATAGTAAATGAAACCGAAATGATTAAAATTAGTTTGTGTATTGCTTTTTCTATTAATTTTTCAGTTAAACCATTATTGTTTATTTTTCTTTCAAGTTTCAACTTAATTTTGATCATTTTTATTGCACAACATAAAGCGACGATTCCCAATTGAATCGATTATTTGAAATATATTCCCTGCCGATCATTGTCTTCCAACTAGCATAGCGAAAAATACTTCCCCAGTCATTTAATACTACGAGTTTATTATTTATTAAAGTTCATTGGATAATGTTAGTGTTGAAAGTGAGAGAAGGAAATTCAAGGACTCCACCTGCCGCCAGCCCACGACTGTCGTCAAAGCCAACTCCTGCCGGAACTCCTGTCGGAACTGTCATAACGGAGAGCTAGAGACAGATTAAATACCCTGCAGCTGATCCAACAAAAAAGCATCTTCTGTATACTCAAGTTGGATCTGCTTTGCATTAAGCGTGAAAAAAAGGACACAAAACTGTGTATTAAAAACTGTTTTGTGTGCTGGCATCCCGGATCCGGTGCCTGATGAATGAGTTTCACTGTGCCGGGGGTAAGGGTTGCGGCAGTTGACGGCCGCTGGAGTCTGGTTGCCTCCTTGGTCCCGGAACAGGTCCCGCTCTGGACCATTTCAGGAGACGTTTTCTAATAAACATTAAGTTGACATGAAATACACGCCAAACAAATGAGCGAAATGCATTTCATACCGAGCCCGGCGAGGGCGTGGCCAGCAGTGGCAGATGCTGGCTAATGCCGCCCTTTCAGCCTGGCTTTCAGCGCCTGCACCGCAGGATATGTTTACAAATTGAAAAATATAGCATGCGACCAACCGAACGTGCAGCAGAGGCAACACAGTGGTTTAATATACCACGATTCAGTGGCTCGGGAAATCCTTTTTTATTAGAAATAAAATTTAACTCAGAATTATATAAACTATATTTTGGCATGGCAAAATCAGGTAAACAGCCTCAAAATGCTAATAACAATGTTTGAAATTACTTGAAATATAGAAAAAAATGGAGAAAGAATAATTAAATTATCTGGATGATTGTTTTATGTTCTTTGCCAAATCGCTAATACCTTAATCCGCTTAACAGAATGTTTCTTTGACCCAATTACACTTTTGTGACTAATCATTAATGATTTTATGAGTATTTAAATAAGGAAAATATTGCCTGGATGTGTTAATTCTCCATACAATGAACCACACACCACTGTGCTGTGCAACTCGTCTGCGTTCTCTGGCAAAAATGAGTTGTAGCATGGGTCAGTCGGCGGTGGACAGGCGAGGCAGTCTTCCTGCAAGGGACTTTGGACGTGCCACGCGGCTTTCCACTACAACACGACTGCGCGGCGTACATACCAATGTAAATGAAGAATATGGGAAACTGCATGGGTTGAAATACATTTAAACATTATATACATTTCCTGCAGAAAAGTAGCCGGGCAGCAGCGAAAATCTGACACGAAACATTCGCGTGACAAGCCACATAGCGGGGCATTCCCAGTGCCATTTCAGGACTAGGAGTTAGAGAAATAATTATGGCAATGCAGAGGAGGAGTAGCAGGAAAAGAAAGCTGCTACAAATTGAAAGTGCACACAGAGGAGAACAAAGCAATGTCAATGGAATGGAAATGGGCCGCAGGATATGTTGGACAAGGTGGATAGCAATTTCCCCCCCTCATGACATTGACAAAGAACTTCAGAGAAAGAAAGATTGAAAGGAGAGAGAGAGAGAGAGAGAGAGAGAGAGAGTGGAAGGAGAGATAGCCAGAGATGACAGACATCCTTTTATTTTTACTTTTCTCGAAATTCTTGTGTTTATTCCAGACAAATGGAGAAATTAACGTGCGGCTTGCCAAGAGACAAATCAGAATGAAACAAGAGGCAGCCAGCTCTAATTTGGGTATGTCAGAGATTGACAACAATTAAATTTGCTTGCTGTCTGCCGGCAAAATGAGTTGGCAAATCAGTTGCGCCATCACCTAAGCAGTTGGCAGTCGTTCGTGTTGACAGAATTCAAATCAATGCCAGAAGGCAGACAGACCTGCCCTGCTGCAGAATGACGTCAAGTCTGTCTCTGACTCTGACTCTGGCACCGATGATGATGATGATGATGATGATGATAATGTATGTGTCATAAATGTCACTTTCAATTTCATTTGATAGGCATGCAGGGTTTGATGGGTTCGATTGGAGCATGATTTGAATGGCAAATTAGCTAAATGTTGGCTTGGGTTGCGCCTTGTAAGAAAATGTAAACGTAATTATGTCAGTCTCAAATTTATGAAATGTGCGAAAAATGGCAAAGAATTCAATAAGAAACTTATAATATGAAAATGAGGGATTGAGGGGTTCAGTCGGACTTTAGCTATCATGACAAGCAGTTCTCTTGAAGCCTTGAACACTGGATAGCACTCAAAGCAAGCGAGAAAGAAGCCCACGATAAAACACATCATCGAGGACTATTATCACTCCAGGCTATACATTTTACGAGTATGCATTGAAAGCCAGATGCAGTCCAGCGGAGGGTAGGGCAGGGCAGGGAAAAGAGTCAAATGTCGAAGGTCTCGCTTTTCCATCGTCGCCGACTTTGCTGGGGCTCTTGTCCTCCTGCTGCAGTCTGGGCCGGCAATGAGTGCTTCCTGTTTCCGGCATCGCTCCACTGTCTCTAGACAAGTGTACAAGCAACTATAACTGTCGGCACAAGTTGGCTTTATTATTTCCACACTGTTGAATATGCATATAAAAAGCGAATCAGAAGTGCCAGCAGAAGGGCGGAGCAGGGCAGACTTTGTGCTGCTTTGACGACCAGCGGCACGCCCCTCGTTCGTCCTTTGTTGTCCTGCCAATGGCCAAGACGAGGTCCTTCGGATGGGGGCTTCCATTTTTGCAGTTCAAGGCGGGTGCATTATCACTTGCCAGCCAAGCAAAATATTGTGGGTGCATTAAGTATTTTCCCTCTGGCCACAAGACAAAAGAAATGCTGGCAGTGGGTCCGAGCGCTCCACAAACTATCCATCTCATGGGTATCCCATGGGCACCCAGTCCAGTCCCAGGTCCAGGCCTTTGTCTGCATTTTATATTAAACTATTTATGCTAGTTGCTCTCTGGTAGCTGGTCACAGTATCTCAAGGAGTCTCGGGTCGAAAATGTACCTACAGCCCGGCCAGTCGGTGAGCATTTTTATCGTGCTACATTTTGCTAAGGAATTTATAAAAAATTTAAAACAATTATGTGGCTGCAGCCACAGCATAGCGGTGGAGGATGGACGGCCATTGATCGCTCGGCTGCCCAGCTGGTCAGCAGCGGAAATTGTGAAACATTCTGTGTGTGTGTGTGTCGGTTGGGGGTAAGACACAGAATAGCCAAGGAATATCAACTATGCATTGATGGGGGGAAGTCTTTGGGGCAGCTGAAACACAAAGAGTTCTGGCATAAGGGCAGATAGAAAGGCTGAAGGAGTAACTTTCTTTTGCTATGTCTAGTTGCGGATCAGAAGATTTGCATAGGATCGATTGTAGGTGCAATGAAATACATTCCCAAATCCTGTCTCCTCTCAATATATCAATTAGAACTAAAGCTAATTAATGATACTAATATTCATGTAGACAGTGAATCTCACTTGTCCGCTGTTTGTTGGTTAAATGAAACGTTTTTCCACTTGTTTGGCTCATGGCGATCAATTAGAAATTATCGCTGCTTTCACAAAAATTGCCTGGCCCGGCGAATGCCTTTCCGTGTGGCCGCCTTCCGCGAGGATATTTTTTGCTGCTTTCCGTGCAGCATTTGCGGTGCATATTCGTGGCCGGAAATGTTGGAAAATGTTGCGGCATAAACAATTTTCGGGCCACTCTCTGGCTCTCTGGCTCTCTGGCAAGGAGCTTAATTACCCTGCCGCAGACGAAAATCCAATTGGCATGACGATTGGCCCCGCAAAATGGTTGAAATTTCGGAGCAATTGTCTTTTGTGGAAATCAATTGCCTAAGCTTTAAATGGGACAATGGGTGGGGTCTGGTACGCTGTCAAACTTCGTTGTCAAACAATATTGCTGCAGAAAGATTAGGCGCCTATTTTGACAGGAGCTGTTAGTGTTGCAGTTGGCTGTGAGGAACGAACGGACACCTACAGAGGATGGTCGGCCTGGTGCTGGGCAAACAGACACACATATTTGCAGCTCCCTGCGGAGGAGTGCAGCATGTCCTGGCCTTAGCCTTTGCCAGCTGACGATGATGATTCTCATATCTCTGGTGCAACAACGAGTGCATGGCGTTCTTCTGCTCGAGTGCCCTGCCCTGCTCTGTCCTGCCCACATCCGCATCCTTCATCCTCATCCGCATCCACATCAAGAATAGTTTTTCTTTGGCTTCTCTCATTTTTCATGCGCGCCAGCTAAGCTTTTAATTAAATGCAAGAAAATTCAATTTTAATTAAAATTTCTCAAAACTCTCTCTCTCTCTCTCTCTCTCTCTCTCTCTCTCACTCTGGGCCGTTTCTGGCTGCATACGGATGGCGGACCGAACCGATGAGGATGTGAATGTGGATGAGGATGAGCACTCTGGCAGCTTTGAGCTCTCGGGTCTTGTCCTGTTTTCGATCTGGGTTGTTCTACTCGAGTGTTTGCCAAAC